ACGGGGGAGGGGGCAGGCACAGCTGGCTCTGCCTCTAGATAGGCAGAGCCAGCTGTGCAGCTGGGCGGATCCCGTCATCTAAGTCGGGATCCGCTCCGGCTGCGGCGTCTCAGTATACCGCGAGCTGTAGCTCGCGGTATACTGAGCTTAGGGTAACGGGAGGACGCTAGTTTGTGTCCTCCCGTTACCCTAAGGAGAACTATGGGGAAAAACACTGAACCCATAGTTCTCCTTTAAGCTAATTGTTTTTTTGTGAAGCTGTTGCAAATTTCTTACCCGGAGAGCCTGTTAGTAACAGTGCTTCCTAGTGCAGGCTAACAAGGCTAAGCCATCACCTTACAATTATATGTGCCTTGGTCAGCCTGCCATGTACGCTCTCTTAGTTGGTTGTTGGGCTACCTATATGATAGATCTGATAGGCAGCCTAACGGCCAACTATAGGGGTAATTTTAGGCAGGCTGACAACTCTGCTGCTAATTGCAAGACAAAGGCTTTGTGTTGCCAGCCTGCTTTCCAGATAAGAAACCTGGCAACAGATTTACAGAAAGTTATTTGCTTATGAAAAATGTGTGCAGTAAGACATGATGCCAAACATACTGAAAAATTGATTTACATATACTTTAATCGTTCTTTGCTTTTTTATGTAGGAATCTGCATAGTTCTTTACTTGTCTATGTCCTTTTCTTCTCCAGGCTGTGCCTTCCTCACATACTGTGCCAGAGACTCTGCCATCAAAGCACAAACAGCCCTGCATGAGCAGAAGACACTTCCTGGGGTGAGTTGAATGCTGGAATGTTGTGAAAAAGTTGACATATAGAATTCATAGGGAGCTCTTGACCCCAGATATAGTACTTATGCTAGACATATAGAGAACGCAGAACATGTTTAAATTACTTCCATTTATGTGGTAGCCTTCTGTATCATTTTCATAATGGTTGCGTTTCCATAGAAATGTATAGAACACTAGGCTATCAATCAAAGACTTTATGTGAACAGAACATTTTATAAACATTAAGGTGTTCAACCGAGCGTGTCATAGAAGGAAAGTGATATGTGCTATACAGCTCGCATTGAATGGTTGCCGTTTCAAGAAAAACATGAAGAATAAATGGATTGCACAAAGGTTGCCGGATTAATGGAACTACTTCCCATTGGAGTTGCAGGAAAATAATACAATGCATTTGTTTAAAATATTTTTTCTGCAACTGTACTGTACTGACTTTGTTCACAAGCACCCTTTGTAAACAAACGTATTTAAGGTTTGTCTATCCATAAAACTCATTAATCAGCTACGACAGCTATTAGCCCATTTTCTGTACACATTGTGCAATAGAAAGTTTCTTCTTTATTAGCTTAAGGGGTATCATAACCTTTATCAGGCTTCTGTAGGTGAGAAATTGGGAAAAAATGTCAGCTGCAAATTTACAAGTAAATGAACAAGAAAATGTGTTTTTTACAGACTGAAATTAAAATGAGCTTTTCTCATACTTGCCTCTGTCACCCATGATGCTCGTCACAGAAAATCTGAAAGCCAGGACTGTTTTGCCAGTATATGGGGTTGGTGCCCAGTGAATACAAGTAGATGAATGTGGTGCGTGCTGCTGTACAAGAGGAGGAAATATAAACTCATTAGTAAAAACTGAGAAACTCAAAAGATGCTTGCTTTCACAACCAAACAGATTCAAGCGTTCAGCATTCTAGTGTAGATTAGAGAATGTTAGATCAAACATATTTGGCTCCTCTGAGCAATTCAGGCTATGTTCATCTCCTTCTCCTATGTTCACTTTATTGTCTAGACCAGCATTTCCCAACCCTTTTTCAGACACCCTTCAAAAGTATGCAAGATCTCGAGGCACCCCAGTCTAAAATCTCTCCTACAGAAAAAGCAATAAAAACAGTATTAATAGTGCTTCAGCTAAGGGTTTAAACCTGCCTCTGCTTTTATTGCTGTCTGTGTCCCTGTTAGAGAGACTTCCCCTTTATGTCCTGGCAAGATAACAAGCATCCGACATAACAGGAAGTCAGTGAAAATCTAAGTGGGGGCACAGGCAGCATATAAATGCTGACAGAGCGTCTCACACTTCCCTGCTACTCCAAAATAAAAAAGAAATATAATATTTTTGGCTAGAGTTGGGTATCAAGTATTTCTGAATATATCACAGAAATGTAATAGGCAACACAGCTCTAATTCCCCACTGGTGACTGATGTCAAAACTGCTATGTCACAGCCAAGGACAAAATGACCAATGCATAATTTTGTCCACTGCAATCAGAATAATCAGTTGTCCCAATTACAGAGTAGTCCTTCTCCATTACACATCAACATCTCTCAGCTGGTTCAGGCGCTGCTTACCTTTATCTTTACCTTTAACCCACTAGTAACGGACCACTGTCTCAAAAAATGCTGTATTCTGCAAACTGTATGCAGGTATAATATGTAGTAATAGTATTTAGTGTATTAATTCCTTTTTTTTAAATTTTACAAGCCTTTATATTTTCTTCACTTTTACCTAAAGGTCAAGCTATCCAACGAAAGCAACAGCAACAGGGGTTGGGACAAACTACAACATTATCGGGGATGCTTACAGCTGTTTCTGCAAGTGCTTAAGCACCACTGGCAGTGTTATGGTTTGTCCAATCCCGATCACTGTCACTTTTGCTTATCTTCAGGTAAATGTGGAGAAAATATGAGCGGTATGAAAAATAAAATCCATGTACAAATACTATATTTTATATATTAATACAAATACAATTATCAGAATACAATTTTTGTTGTAATAGTAGTCATTTACCATCAAATATGTTAGCAAGTGCAAAGTGAAAAAGGCCAAATTTTCTATTAATATCTCAAAGATTAGATACATATATTTAAAGGGTATTTTAAAGTAAACTTGTCATAGGATAACATGGGGGCTGCCATTTTGTACCTCCTCTTCTAAAGCTACAAATGACCTTTCTGTCATGCTAGACTTTTTACTTCCATCATTTTTGAATTATCGGCTCAGAAAAAGCATGCAGATAAGGACTTCTACTGAGACTGCTAATATGCATACATGTTCCTGGTCAATGAATCATTAAATGTTAAAGTAAGACAGCATAAAAGCTAGGTAACCAGCATTTCAGAAGGAGCTCAACAATGGAAGTGGGGGCATAAGCAATGGCAGGCTTTTTAAAAAAAATAACTCAACATCTCTTAGTATGGTTTTGAGAAAAGGTTGGGAGGGAGGTAAAGTCCTCCACCTCCTTATACTGAATCATGTTAAGAGGGATCTTCTTCTCTCTTACACTTTAACAAGATAAACTCTGCGTAACCACCAGTAATTAATATTATCCCCCACATTGGCTTTCCACCATTCTTGCTGTGGTCCACAGTTTTTTTATTCCTCTTCATTCAGGCTATAACGGTGTATGCCATCATCTACTATGCACAGGGACCATGTTTTCTCAGCACAAGTAACTCTGAGTGCTAGGGACTTGTAGAATAAGGGAATGATAAAGAATCTGTAGCTGGTAGCTGCTGAAAATCTACAGGTGCTTGATGCTGCTTAACTTCAAACACACGGAGAGCCAAGCTGCACAGTTATGAGTGCTGCCATGTACTTGCCTGTATATCAGCAAGCTTGTCCTTCTCTGGGTGCTCTAATCTAAACATATAGTGAGTTGGTGGTTAGCCATGGTACAACACCTAAAGCTGAACATAGATTATTTACAAAATGGATTTTGTTCTGGGTTCTGTTATCAACTCCTGTGGCTTCTTTATATTCATTAAGACCTTAGAAAACATGGCTAACTTACAGAGATCAAACAAAACCAGGGCACAACTAAAACTGTACCTGTAGCAACTGGATTCCTTGCTGCATTTGAAAGATGAAACCTAGTTAGTTGTAAATTAGGCCTAAAATGCCTAATGCTCTATATGTACTTTATTTTATAGTATGTTACACTGGCCATACAGCTAGTTTGGAAAACATTGTTTTCAAAATGCTCATTGTATTTTCTAATAGTCAATGTCGATGATCTTTGTTGTCCGTAATGACGAAAATCGAAGTAGGATGGATTTTTTTTTAAGGAATGAAATTCTAACAGTAAAATGGTTTTCGCTCGGGAAGCTCCATTCATTCCAAAAACGAATGGTAAAATCAAATGAGATTTTGAACAGCAATTGTCAATTCTCTGATGTAATAATCTAATGCTCTCATGAGATTTTTTTGTATAAACAACATAAACAACCCCACCAGACAGATGTTCCCCTGATTAATGCATAGCCACTTCCACTGTTTAACCCATACTAACTTCTCCCAAAACTAATGCTTTTACCATTCTCACCAGCTAAATTCAGTGTCTGTAATGCATGTTATAAGAGCCGCACTAGCGTAAGGCACCACAAGCAGACGTCTGAGGGCGCTGGTGGGGGGCGGAAAAACACAGCCTCGCATACACAGAAGCAGCGATATGGACGAGCTCTGAGCTTAGGCTTCTATAGTCTGAGCCCCACCCCCTGTTCACTCTGCTGTGTGCACTCCGCAGCCTGCTGAGAGCCTGCACACTGTCTGGAGCTGTCACCTGCTGTGATATTTACATATGAATGGGCAGGTGGTATTTACATATCAATAAGCCGCAGAACATTCATATGTAAATATCGCGGCTAATTGATATGTAAATCACGCCCCCCCCCCCCTAGTGAGAAGAAAAAAAAGGACATGTGATCAGCCTGAAGACTGCAGGAAAAAGGTATATTTAAGTATGTGTATGTACATATATCATTATTTTTTTTAAATAGTGGTGGCGGGGTATATACCTCCGTTACATTGGCGGTCAGTGACAATACCTCCATTACATTGGCAATCAGTAACAATACCTCTGTTACATTGATGGTCATTGAGAATACCTCTGTTACATTGGTGGTCAGTGAGAATACCTGCATTACATGCTCGGTCAGTGAGAATACCTCTGTTACATGGGCGGTCAGTGAGAATACCTCTGTTACATTTGCGTCAGTGAGAATACCTCCATTACATTGATGGTCAGTGAGAATACCTGTTACATTGCTGATCAGTGAGAATACCTCAGTTACATTGGTGGTCCGTGACAATACCTCCCTTAAATTGGCAGTCAGTGACAATGTCTCCGTTACATTGGTGGTCAGTGACAATACCTCCGTTACATGGCGGTCAGTGACAATACCTCTGTTACATTGCTAATAAGTGAGAATACCTCTGTTACATTGGTGGTCAGTTACAATACCTCTGTTACATTGGTGATCAGTTACAATACCTCCATTACATTGGCAATCAGTAACAATACCTCTGTTACATTGATGTTCATTGAGAATACCTCTGTTACATGATGGTCAGTGACAATACCTCTGTTACATTGCTAATAAGTGAGAATACCTCTGTTACATTGGTGGCCAGTTACAATACCTCTGTTACATTGCTGATAGTGACAATACGTCCGTTACATTGGTGGTCAGTGACAATACCTCCGTTACATTGGTGGTCAGTGACAATACCTCCATTACATTGGTGGTCAGTGACAATACCTCCATTACATTGGCGGTCAGTGACAATACCTCCGTTACATTGGCGGTCAGTCATAATATCTCCATTATATTGGCGGTCAGTGAGAATACCTCCATTACACTGGTGGTCAGTGTGAGGCCTCCTAACATTTTATTACTCTGAATTTTTGCTACCATCATCCCATCAGTAGCCACAATGAATGTCGCTGGATTCATCAGAACACATGATTTTTGCTATATATTATATATAAAAT